GGTCATAGATTAAGCTCTATGTTTATTCTATAATAAGGAAAGGATTTCTCATTAAATATTTTGATTGAAATTAAAAGAAACAAATGTATATTTATAAAAGTAAAGTTAACATTTAGTTATTAAAATAAGTATTAAACTTCATCTTCGTAATTTATTTTTAGAGAAAACACAGAGATGTATACCTTGAAACCTGCAATGTGCATGAAGGATGAAACCTTCTAAACCCTTGTGATGTTAAAATGTAATAGTTGCATATAATAGACTTTTTACATGTATACTAAAATTCAATACAGTTACTGCATATGCTAGAATCATTTGTGACTTCATGTTGTTTTTCAAATTGTTTGATTCTTCTTTTCAATTGATAATAAAATTTACAAATGTAATGTGTAGTTCAATGCATTACTTTGCAAGAGTAATTGTAATGTAATGCATTACTTTGATAAATGCATGTAATTGTAATTGTAATTTAATGCATGGTTTTGTCAAAATAATTGTAATATAATGCATTACATTGCAATGTAATTCGCCCCATGCCTGCTCCTTTCATTACACATTATGCTATTTTTCTAAATTATGGTCAAAATTGCACACAAGATATTATATGACTTACGAAAACTATAACTATTCACATTTAAATCTTGAAAGTGGTAGTGTTTATTTATGGAATTGTAACGGGTTTGTTGTGTTTAACAATTACAATATACGCGTTAGACATTTTGTATGTTAATCTTTTTGTACATACACGATATAAAAGGACTATATATGTATGTGTCAATTATATCCCCTCAAACAATAAAACTACTTAATTAATTTTAGGTTTTATGTTAATTGAAATGGAAATTTGCAATTGGCTAAATATTTTATAAAAAGAATGTAATTTATTTTACAGAGAAAGGATACTTGTCTATGCTATCAAACTGTACACATATTACACTGCTCCTAGTCTAAATACTTAATAAGATGAATCAATTAACGATACAGAAAATAAAACAGATTTCACAAACATTGCCTTTTTCGTGAGAACAAGTTTATAAGAAATTCTTTATTATTACAATATACCATGTAATCATAAGTAATCAAAAGATTTCATGATTACTTTAAAGAAAAAGTAATCTAATGTAATCGATAACATTTGAATGTAGGTGTAATTGTAATGTAAAAGAGGGACGAAAGATACCAGAGGGACAGTCAAACTCATAGATCGAAAACAAAATGACAAAGCCATGGCCAAAAATAAAAAGACAAACAGACAAATAATATTACAGATGACACAACATAGAAAAATAAAGACTAAGCAACACGAACCCCACCAAAAACTGGGGGTGATCTCAGGTGCTCCGGAAGGGTAAGCAGATCCTGCTCCACATGTGGCATCCGTCGTGTTGCTTATGTTATTACAAATCCGGTAAATAGTCTTAATTCGGTAGGTCACATTCGTGAAAAGTGAAGGGTATTGTAGTTACGACTTAAGGAAAATATCCGATATCATCTGTGAAACGGTTATTCCATAACGGTCAACCAACTCTTGATGGCGTCCGTAAAATTTACGAAGGGATGATTTCAACTTCACCATTTGGAACTCTTGGTTTAATAGCTTTCTTGTGAGCAGCAATCCTCTATCAAGGAAATCATGATAGGAAATACAAGCCCGTGATTATCGTATCAAGTGGGAGATATATACTCCGTATGTAGGCGCTGTTGGAAAGTTGCTACATAGAAATGGAAAGGTCACAATTGGGAAGCTGAAATCATCTCTTTTGTCGTAAAGTTTTGTTTTCAACCGACCCTCATTGTCAATTTCTAGATATAAGTCAAGATATGAGGCAGACTTAACCGTATCTGTAGTATCCTTTATCTCTAGTTCGATGGGATAGATTCGTTCAACATAGTCACCAAATTTTGTATTATTTAGTGAGAGAACATCATATATATAGCGGAACGTAAAGTTAAAGGACATTGCTAACTTCTTATCTTTCTTCCTAAGAAGTTCCTGTATGAAGTCAGCCTCATAATAATAAAGAAAAAAGTCGGCAAGAAGAGGGGCACAATTGGTTCCCATTGGAATTCCGACAGTCTGTTGAAAAACACGTCCTCCAAACGTAACAAATATGTTGTCAATCAAGAAATCAAGCATCTTGATAATGTCAGTTTCAGAAAATTTTTTGTTTGAATCAGAGTGATTCTTTACAAAGTAGGATTTATCCCTCCTCAAGACAAGATACTTGTATCTACGTTTGCCATTCTTTTTAATGAAAGAAAGTTATACCAACTCTTTCAATTTGTCTTTTAGTTTGAAATGGGGAATACTTGTGTAAAGTGTAGAAAAGTCAATCGATTACATTAAATAAGGAAAGTAATTGTAATTTTTATAAACAGATTTTCTATTATCAGTGATTAATGATTATACAAAATAGCTGATATCTTAAAGTTGATATCAGTTTACAATCTAGAAAAAATGGTATTCATCATGAAATTTCTATTACAAAATTTACACAACCTTATGGGTATATTTCTATATCTTCCCACTTCAACTCCTGAGTTATTGTGACTTACCAGAAATTTAGAGATTAAATGTCTGGCTTAAAAATGTTAATATTTTAAAGTAGTTATCTTATTTAATATCAAATTTTATTTGGCTATAAAGAAATAATTTTGAACTGTATGTAATAGAAAAAAAGTTTATTTCGAACCTTTTTAGTGTTGACGTCATTTGATATCTGTTTGGACTTCATATATAATAACTATCTAATTCTGCTATAAGATTTATTAGTTTCAAAATCTGCAGCATCTTATCCTGTCTCTTTAAATATATTAAGAGCAAAACTTTACCAATTATGAATAAAATTATTATGCAGGGACTTATTTTATTCATGGGCTTATTTTATCAGAGGGTTATTATCACTTGTATGAAATTTACAGAAAAGTAACATAACTTGTGGTTTAATAAATGAAGCAAAAATCCGCCTGTGACATAATTTTCAATATATGAAGTTTGTCACTTTATAGTAGAAGTTTTGTCATACTGTGTGCTTAGAAGTGTACCTTTTGGATCGTCAATATATTTAGATCGTTTGATCCTGGTGTGTCACTGTAATATTTCTTCAGTTAGGTATGTTTTGAACTTCTTGGTATCTTTTGTCTCTCGTTTATCGGATGATACCAAGACCTTGTTGGTAAATATTCCGTATCAACTTCACAAATAATACACGATGGTCTTGAAGTATTGATTCTAGATACTGACGTTGTTTATCATCTCAATTACGTGTTATAGTGTTCTTTTATTTGTCTGTAAATTATTACTTTTACTGTTTAATCCATTTTAGTAATATCCATTTGACGTGGCTCGGTACTTATACATCCCGTCATTGTGTTATTGTGCTTTGTTAATTTTTGTGTTCTTGTCTTTCGTTTTTGCTTTTGTGTTTTGTCTATATGTCTTTTTGTATTTGTTTGTTGACATATTTGATTGTTTTATAGTGATTAAGATTATAACACAATGTTGACTGCTGTACCCCTTATTTTTTACATTTTTACCTGTTATCTGTTTGTTTTTTTATTTTACTTTTTATGTCGTTGTTGTAACCTTGTGGTATCTTTGCAAACAGCAAATTCTAAGACGGTGTTCAGATTGTTTCTAACGATAATTGAAGTACTAGAATTAGATAAAAGGGTGGTGTGAAGTATTTTGGAATTGATACCACCTGCACACAATTTGTTACAGTACCAAACAACATTTAATGAGGTAAATTTATATCATAGATTATTAAAGTGTTTATACTGTTTTCTGAGTATTGAAATAATGATATCAATATTGCTCTTAATTATTCTACGTATTCACACTTCACTGCATAACTTGTCAAATGATTTGGTTTTAGCGCTCCTGATGAAAATAATTTAAAAAAGACTTCGGCCGCACTCACTTGTTTAGGGCAATTTTCATTTTCATATACTCAAAAGGAGTCTTGGATGCCGAGTTGTTTAAGTAGTCAAACAACTGTATAACTGGCCTGTCAATACTGAGTTCGAATCCTGCATTGGACAGGTGCACTCGACTGTCACTCCAATCTTGATTGACTAGGATTGTCAGTTTTCCTACCGATGGTCGGTGGTTCTCTCCGGCTTCCTCCACCAAGAAAAACTGTATAGCATAATAGTGTTGAAAGTTTCGTTAAACACCAACTAATCAATCATCGGAATAAAAGGAGACGTTATCATCAATGAGACATTAGCCGAAGTAGAACATAAAAAGTATGATATTCTCTAAATCTATTCTTTAGAAGTTGCGATAATTCAAGATTTCAAATAGTAACCCCCTTTTTCCTTAATTTTTAAATACATATTGATGGAGTATACAATAGGTATATATCCCTCAAACGTCTTTTTCGTATTGTTGTATTTGTATATTTTTTTTTAATCATTTAGCGTTAACAATCAATAAAAGTAAAGATATAATTTACATTTTTCAGACATATTTAGTATTATTATTTCTCAAGAAACACGGGAATGGTACAGAAAACACAATATTAATAAAAAAGAATCAACATCTTTGAGTATGTCAAAACCGAACTTTCTTATCCATAAGCCTAAAGCTATCGAGTTGCCTAGTAACAACATCAAGAAGAAGTAGTATTAGAAGCGAGTACTTGACTTCCTTTACAAACATGTAAAACCAAAAATGACCACGAGGACCTCAATATCTGCTGTTCTAAACCAAATACGATATTACAAACAACAACGACCCTTTCCTGATGATTGATACGATATAAAGTAAGCATATAAATACTCCAAACAACATGCCATTGTCTATTCTATTATAAATCCACCCATTAACCCGTTTCGACCAGACGATAGCAATGCTCAAGTGATTTTTTTAGTGATATTTTTAAGTAATTTGAAGTAACATTCCACTAGTGCAGAGTCTAACTGATATAAAACAGCAATAAATACAAGATAATCTGTGATAACATTATTCTATCCATGTTTAAAGATTTAAAAAATAGAAATGAACATAGTTTTATTATGGAAAGAATACACTGGTATAAAACATTTAAAATTGTAACACATTTACTGTCATTTTTGCAAAAAGACTTGGCTCTGGATACCTTTTTATCTGTATTAAACTGTCTTTCGTTTTAAACCTCACTGCTCTTCAACAAATCTCACTGACTGTTCTTCTTTAAACCTCACTGCTCTTCTATAAATCTCACTGACTGCTCTTCTATAAACCTCACTGCTCTTCTATAAATCTCACTGACTGCTCTTCTATAAACCTCACTGCTTTTCTAAACCTTCAAAAACATATATATTAATTAAACATAATTTATTGGATTCAAGAATTTTTTATATCAATAATAATCATATTCAATGTTAACATGTTCTTTAATATTGTCTATAAACATTTTCTCACAAATTAAAATGACAGAGACAAAGCTGCAACTACAATAGTTTTAAAAGATGATTTATGAGTACAAAGTTAAAATATATTAAAATTCACATGCTACTATTTTTTAAACAACCGAAAGTATTTTTCTTCCTTTATATATTAAAATATTTATCCAAAAAATCTTGCGAAGAATGTCATTGTTATCTGTATAATTACATGTCTGCTTTTACTATCATATTACTGCAAGAAGATTCTGTACATTCAACAGAATCAACAAAAAGCAACAAAAACAAACAAAAGCAGCCATAAAAAAAATTGTAACATAACAATAAATACGATGGAATATTTCTAGAGACACCTTTACTATTACGAGATGATAAACGTTTATTTGTACAGCCATGAATGGATTCAAGAAATGTTTTTATATTGTTCCTATGATGATAGGTGGTGTGTCCAAGTTGGAAAAACACATTAAACCTGTTGTGTTTATATCTTATAAAGTTTACTTTGTCACCGATTGCTTTCATGTAAGTTTTGAAATCCCCATGTACACCATTTCTCTCATCAACACCTTTAGTAAATGATTTGCTGCATGTTCGAATAAGCCTTATAGTTCCACATTCTGCATTTTTAACCTCTGAGTCTTCGCTGTCTGCCTCAAGTGTCTCTGCACCTAACGATTCCTTAATTAAGTTCCTTAATTACTGATATTTGTGATGCTTGTACAATTCTCTTGAATATTGCACTCTGAGTATTTGACAAACTCTGAACCGGTATGTAGAATTGTTCATTATTGAATGTTTTTAGTCCCTTTCCTCCTTTTTTTTTACATGCTAAAATTTTATACAATTTTGCTCGTAAAGTTGGTAAATTTATGATGTTAAATTCGATTTCGCAAATTTTCGACAATATATCGGCTACTCTACATTCTAGTTGAATTGTTTTTTTCACTTTTTTCAGATTTAGCATATATAAAAAGTTCAATAACTAAACCATTTTTAATCATAAATTGTGGTATATTTTGGACAAGTTGTTCTTCAATTCCAGGTTCTAATGTTTTAAAATTTATATTAAGGCTGTCAGCAAATGGTCCTAATGAAGACCTATTTCTATAAGTTCATGTATATATATATTTAAATTAAAATTAATACTGTTTATTAATTTTCTTCTTGAAACTCTCAATCTGACCACTGAGCACTTTCATTTCGGCTTTCATTTTGTCTTGCCATATTTGCTGTTTTTTTAAATCTTTGTTTTATTCTTCCAAATCTTTGTTTTTTTTCTTCCAACTCTTTGAGTTTTTCTTCCAACCCTTTGTTTTTTCTGTCTCAATCTTTATTTCTTACCCTTAGTTGCTTGTTTTCATATCTCAATTCAATATTTTCTTTCCTCAGTTCTTCATTTTTCTGTATGTAACGTAAGGCAAATGGATCTTTTACCTGGATAAAGAAATAATAAATTTCCACTTGAAAACTAATGATTGTTTGTTTGTAGGATTATAAATGAGTGTTTTGCATAATTTTTATTTTGAGTAAAGGTGGCAGCCATGTTTGATAGCTGTTGTCGTCTTCAAGCACAATACTGAAAGAAAATAAATTATGTATCATTTTCCCAAAGTTTTTGTTTTCCTCAGTTGGTTGACCGTTATGGAATATCTGTTTAACATACACGACGGATATGTTCTAATTGTCGCAACAACATTCCTGTCCCTTTCCCCTGACTTTGACCTAGCAAATTAGACTTACAATGTATAACTGGGATTGTTCTTACATGATCAACAAGACGGGTGTCACATGTTGAGCAGGATCTGTTTACCCTTCCGGAGCACCTGAGATCGCACCCTTTTTGGTGGGGTTTGTGTTGTTCAGTCTTGTTTTTTATCTTGTGTTTTGTGTACTATTGTTTGTGTTTTGGTCTTTTTTTTGCGATGCCAGGAGTTGTGAAACATCATTGAAAGTGAGGACCATGGCGTTGTCAGTTTACTTTTGACTTATGTTAGAATGACCCTCTGGTATTTTTTTCCCTCTCTTTAAATGAATATAACCCTCAAACTTCTTAAAATAATATGAAGAAATGTCATTTTTTACATAATTGTACTTGACTCTAGTCTTTTACGTGTTTGTATAAAAATTAATAACAGACTCTAAACATACTATTTTCACTTCTGGTTTTTCCCGTCTAATAATGATGGTCTTAAATATTTTTTTCTCCGGTGTATTGAACACCAATTCTTGATCAGAACTACTTGGTTTACACTGAAAAAAATATATATAAATACACGAATCTCATTACAAAAGCAGAAACATAAAAATATGCTATTAAATTAAAATCATAGTGCTAGCATAGCATTAGTATAGTAAAATACTCAATAGCTGGGGATATCCTTACACGTACATGCAACCATATATACCTTATTGTAGATTTGATTTTGTCTAGCTGATAACAATCAATATACTGCTGCACTTGTTCAGTATGGTGGAAAAAACTGTCCGTAATAACAGTTATAAAATGCATGTAACACATTTATCCCTTGAAAAATAGTGCTGCAAGTGTGTCAATTAAATGTCAATTAAATGAAAGCTACAATGTATGGTACAAATTGTAAACATGTATTTTAACAAGACAAAATTGACTTATTTAAAAAAAAAATTACTTTTCAAATAAAAAGAAGTGCTAACATTATATATATATATATATATATATATATATCTTATAAGTACCTCCACTCGGTTTCTTTTCAATTCTTTTGACATTGATGATGATGTCTAATGATTCCATAAATTCTGATCATGATAAACAAACTGTGTAAACTGTATAGAATATATTATGATAATGACACAATAAAATAAATGTGAATTCAAATATTTACTTATCTGAATCAATTTCTTATATACTTTATTGCAGAAGAAAAAAGTTTAGGTTGAATTTATTTGTTATTTATATATTATTCTAAACACAACGATTAAATTAAAAGTTGTGAACTTGAATTGTCTATACAGATCTCTTCATAGACGATCCAAGTCTTTTATGTTTTTGTATACTCAAAACGGGATTCAAAATTTATCAGAGACGATATTGACTATTGTTGATAAGATTTCTCTTCCGACACAGTATTTTTCATTTAATATAATTACTCTTCTGACACAGTCTTTTTCATTAAATAATTTACATAGTCAAAACTTTAAATTTTATACTTTGACTTTGAGTCAATGATGATTTATTCATGGCCAGTTGACTTTATAAACATCCTGAGTTTTTTGTAGACTCCAATTTGTCTAGCATTCTTCTATTTTTGTCTCCCCCCCCTTTTTATGTACCTTGCAACCCAGTCGACTATTGGTCCTAGAGCACTTATCTGAAATCATTAGATGACTGAAAAACTATTGATCATCAATATTCATTACGATCTACTATTTTCTGGATACTGCAAAATTGCTGTTGTGAAAAGTTTGCTGTATTTTCTGTGAATCGGAAAACCGGAAGTGAAGAAATCATGAACAGATAACTGTAGTTTGCATTTTTACCTTAGTCATTGAGGAACACCATATCAAAGATTATCTCTATTTTTAAGCTAAGTACGGGAAATGTTTATATGTGCAATAGAATATATCAACTCAATATGAAATATACTTCTAAATGAACCAAAATATAAAGGGGGACTGTAGTTAATAAATAATATCCTTCATTTTTATTGCTTTATCGTTAACATGCCGCCTTACCATAGAAATTGTATGGGAAAATACCTTTGTAATATTTATAGATCATTACCCCATTCTTCAAACAAACTCATCTGAGTGTTTGAAACAAACGTGAGGTTTGAGTACACAAGCGTGCTTTTGAAGCTGTAAACTGGGTACGTGTTTGGAATGTGGTAAATAATGAGCAGTGAGTTATTTCCCCTTTGCATTTAGCATTGCTACAGATGACAGATTTCAACGACCATCGAACATATTTATCACATAGCGATATTACAATACTTCCTAAGAGAAGATCTCTTTAGACGGAATTTCATAAAATTTGTTTACACAAGTATTTCTAATATAGAAATGATTGGAAAATTTAATTCTGCATGCAATCATCGACTCGGAAAAGTTCCTTCGTACGGCAGCTCGATAAAGTAAATTGAATATAAGTAGTTAAATCTAACTTTGGATGTTTTAAATTGTAATTTTCAACATTGCTTCTCTCCAAAAAGTAATTATCTACAGGCGGAGTTTTGTTCTGTGTTCACGTACAGAAAACATCTGTACTGGTACAAAAATCCGTCAGTGGAGACAATATATGTATAGATTTATCGTGGTCATTTGGATTTAGACGGGTGGTTTGAGTTTTTATACCCATGCATGTGTGCCAATTCTTTGGAAAAAAAAAACATATCAGCACAACTTTAATGCGCACTTAAGTCATTTTAATTTCTATGTAGACAGATATGAGATCGATATGGGCATAAGAAGAACATCTTTGAACTTTCTACTCTTGGTGTATACCATTTCATCTATTTCTATTGTATTAGCTTTCAATATGGTTTACGAAAGTACATGTTGATTTATTTGCTCAGTTCAGTTTGGACTTAAAGGCCTAGGGCAATGTGTTTTAATCGAGATCCCAAAATATATGGGGACCCATCACACCTAGCTATTGTCCGTTTTCTATTCACGCAACATATATCATATGCATGTAAGTTAGTGAAAAATTCCCCAACTGCTTCGTATGAACATGAATTTACTACACGAGGCTCACCGATCATTCCACTCTCTGATTTTGACACTCGACTATCATTTACAAATTCGTAGTAATCATTTGTATCACATTTTTTTTCTGTGAATTTGGTTATTTTAAATTGGTTTCAGACTGTGAACATTGTCGGATACTAAGTCCATTCCTGATGCTATTTCATTGTATACAACTGTCAGCCGGTTTCGTATAAAATCTCTTTTAATTGGCTAAATAAGGCATTGCTCTGCTCCTGCTATGTTGTTAGCCTTTGGAAAAGCTATTGTTTTTTTTTTCGTTTTTTCAAAACTTGCAGATGAAAGACAAATGTTATATTGTGTATAGCTGATGAATGAGGGGAGGGTTGTCCAAAAATGTGTTATTACATTTACAGACATCTAACTGTCGAAATGTAGTCTCACGTTTCGTGTCAAACCTGGTCATTGTCAAAAAAGGTTATTACATCAGTCTCCTTTTCTTCTTTTATTCTATATGAACTGGTTTCTTTATTCAGTTTATTACCGCATAGTTAGCAGCTCACAGCTGGTGAGCATGATACATGAATGACGCATGTAATTTTATTTAGCAATAACAAAATATAATATCAAATTACAAAAAAGGAAAGGGCTACAACAAGTTACTTACAGTGTTGATCTAAAGCGATTAGCTCGAGATACAACTTCATTTGCAGAGTTCATCATTGATGGTTATGATGTAAAACATGTTATTATCGGTCAACTTTTTCACCGTTTTACAGCGAATCGGCCATATAATTACAACGAACTTGTTAATGAAGTAAATACACATTTGAAATTGATCATAAAGAATATAGACAAATTATCGTTTTGGCATCATAGAGGCATGTGGTCTGATTCTGAATCACTGATAGCATATGACGGTTTCCATTAAATGCAAAAGGTACATTAAAGTTTGCGAATAGTATCAGATCCGCCTTAGGCATCTGTATGAGACGAGGTTAATTTTAATGTATGCATATGTTACTAATTTCTTTGGATTTACGGTATGAAAATATGGTTTTACTTAATATGTCGCAACCCAACACTTATTTCATTTATTGATTATCATTTTCTAATATTTTGTTTTTCAAACCAATTTTCCTTGCTTGCTTGGGGAAGGTGACCGTTATTTTAATTGATGCAGAGGTTGTGGTTGCTTGTACTTATGACCTTTGTGTATTTGTTTTTGCAAATAAACCAATTTTCCTTACTAGCTTGGGTAAGGTGTATGATATTTTAACTGGTGCGGAGGGCGTGGTTGCTTGTAGTTATGACCTCTGTGTATTTGCTTCGTCAAATATGTGTTAATGTAGTGTTTTAATGTTTAATGCTTCGTCGTGAAACTCATGCTACTTCAGTTAATATTGTCACGGTGATATTGGTTTGGAACATAATATTTTTTGCATTGTAGCCTTTAGGTTATAATTGCCATGTATTTTTTATACATGTAGCTTTTTTTTAAATATTTGCTAATATTTAATTCATGTTGTCAATTTATTTTGTTGGCTAGTACGTTGATACATGTAGTTTTGGATTGCGATTGAATTTTAATCTAATTGTCATTTTTCATACCAATATTAAAGCATAATTAGACTCAATTTAAATTTCTTTTTTTTTTGTATACATTCAGCGGTTTGTTACCATTTCTTTTTCTTTTCTCTAGAACGTAAATATGCCTAGAGCAAAACAGTCAAAGAGGAGAGCAGCTTCGGATAAATTCTCCAATTCGGTAGTTGTTCCAGATAGAGTAGACATGCCTGCAAAGAGAAAGCGGACACAAAAAAGTTCAGCAGCAGCAGCAAATAAAACCGGAAGTAACATTTCCATCGAAGATTCAGTACAATCTCCCAAAAGTCTGTCTGAAAAAATGACTACGGCAGATAAAATTGCTTTGGCATTGCTAAACCGTATGAGGTCCAACAAACCAAAATCTCAACAACAGTCGTCATTAGCTGATTTAGTTACACCATCAGGACAGCAAACACAAGCAAGTGCCTCTACAATGAGCAACCCAACCTTAAGTATTCAACCAATGCCTTGTTCGTCATCAACCGTCAGGAACACTGTTATACAACCAGTTCATACCAGCATGTTTCCAGACAACACTTCGATGCCTGTACCATTTAACTATAATGTAAATTTACAGAGGGAAGGTACTACTGCTATAACATTTAGCTCTGTAAATTTAATTAAGAATTCATTGCCTTTGGCATATCATGTAAATGAAAAATTGAGAAATACTATTTTCAATAATGAATAATTAGATTTTGCTGCCTTATTGCCACAAACTCAATCCACTGAAGAAATACATGTAATTGCCACTGGTGTCAAACTAATGACCACCTCTAATTCAAATCCAAAAGCAATTTCAAACATGCATCAGTGGAATAACGCATTTGATATATGTTTATCCATTTATCTAACTAAGTATCCAAACTTGATGTTAACTCTGATC